CGGACCACAGACCATTAGTCTGGTTATTTAACCTAAAAGAACCAAATTCAAAACTTATGAGATGGAGACTTAAACTAGAAGAATTTGATTACGAAATTCTTTATAAAAATGGTAAACAAAACACAAATGCGGACGCCTTGTCACGAATAAAATTAAATGCTTTAGAAACCGACTCTAAATTTCTAGACAACGATTTCGATCCGAATAAATTAGACTCAAATGAAATTTCGAAAACACTCGAAGAAATAGAAAATAAACGTCCTAGGAGCCCAAAAATAATCATTCTCGAAAACAAACTTTTAAGACCGGCTTTTGAAAATACAATACATAGTACAAATACTGACGAATCTTTACAAGGAATACCTATATTAAATGAAATTATTAACAACAAACCAAATCAGATAATACTTCAGAAATCTCCGTATTCTACTTATGTTAAATGTAACTTTAAAAACTTCGACGGTCATAATATATTACATGCAACAATTCCAGAAGAAGAAATTAGTTTAACAAAATTCTTCAAAGAACATTTAAATAACAAAAAGACGTATATTCACTTTTTATCTCAACAACTAAGACCAATTGTACAAAAAGTAATCGCCCAACATTTTCAAAATTATAAACTAACCGAATGCACAAAATTAATAAATAATGTTGAATCGGAAGAACGAAATATATTAATTAAATATAAACATGAAGGTAAAACTAATCACAGGGGCATAGAAGAAACTTGTAAATTTTTAAAAAATAATTATTACTGGAAATCCTTAAAGTCAGATGTTACAAAATATATTAACGAATTAACGAAAACCACCACATCAACCTTTAATGTTAACTGAAACACCTTCTAAACCATTTGAAATTATACACGTCGATACCTTTATTGCCGGCGGACAAAAATTCTTAACTATAATTGACAAATTCTCTAAGTTTGGAGAGGCATTGCCCTATTTTGGAACTGCGATTTCAGCATGCCAACAATTAGTACATTTCTTTTCATTCTATGGAATACCAAAACAAATTGTTTCTGACAACGGAACAGAATTTATAAATGACGTCCTAGACTCTTTATTAAAAATACATAAAATTAAAATCCATTTCACAACGCCGAGTCACCACGAACGTTTTCACTCAACCCTCATCGAACACTTACGCCTATTGAAGGAAATAGATAAAAATTCCGATATTATTTCACTTATGCCCTAAGCGATCATTGCATATAACAATATTATACACTCAAATACTAATTTTACACCTTTTGAATTAACACTAGGACACACTGATACACGTGACCCTATGAACCAAATTCCTTCTCAAATATATTGTGAATACGTAAATAACCATCAAACAAATACTAAGCTTCTTTACGAAAAGGTACATTATGATTCCCTTTTAAAAAAACAAAAAAAGATCGATAAAATTAACAAAAACAAAACTCCAGTAGAACTAGAAAAGGTAAATTAAACAAAAAAATTTCTGGACCATTCATATTAACAAAAATCCTAGATAATAATAAAATTGAAATAGAAAACCCAAAAACAAATAAAAAAGAAATAACTCACGTTAACAAAACTAAAATAATGAACATTGTTCCAGATGGCTCGCAAACATCGGAGCAAACGAAGTAAAAATCCACAACCTGAACTATCCAGGAATCCTTCCTTATAAACTAGGTACCGCAAAAATAACCTCCAACCATTTCTCCTTTATACAAATTTTTGATTTAAACCCAGCTGTTGCTGAATTCTATGTAATCTATAACCAAGTAAAAATATTAATTAGTCAGATTAAAAATAATACTAATTATTTTCACGAATATTCTAATTCAGTCATCCCTCTTGTAACATTAGAAAAACGCATTGAAAATCAAATTAGTCAACTCAATCCATTATCTATAAGAAGTAAAAGAGGCCTATTAAACCCAATCGGTTCTATTATTAAATGTATTACTGGAAACTTAGACCAATCTGACGCGGAAAAATACGATGTAGAAATCAAACAACTGCAAGAAAACCAAAATAATTTAAGAACCAATTCAATTAATCAAATAAAACTGTTAGAAAAAACAATCAACTCATTTAAAAATTCGATATCAAATATTTCTCATAACCAACTTATCCTTAAATCTAAAATATTACAAATTGATCAAGTAATTAAAAAGATAACCATTGAACAAACGAATGACTATGAGTATTTCCAAATACATGTAGTAATGAATCAAATTACCTTTATGTATAATTTAATATATAACATTTTTGAGAAAATTGAAACCGCAATTAGTTTTGCCAAATTAAACACTTTACATAATTCGATAATTGATCCGTCTGATCTATTCGAAGAAATTAAAAACATTAAAAAAGAATTAAAGGAAAATCAACTGCCGTTCGAGTTATCTATCGAAAATATATTAAATTTTGAAAAAATTATAGAAATAAAAAGCTACTCTAGAGGACTAATAATAACATTTATTTTGGAACTACCGCTACTAGAATCAGAAATTTATCAATATTACCAGTTGTATCCGCTATCAGTTAATAGTGAACAAGAACTGCAATATTACGTTAATATACCGATCATATCATATCTTGCATTGAGTGGAAATATGTACTCATTTATGGACTCTGAATGTGTAAAGCTACTAAAAAATGAGTTCATATGTAAAAATATACATATTACCTATATGAAGGAACACCCTCCTTGTTCAGTGGAAATAATAACTCACAAGACTAATATATCAAACTGTAAACCAATTAAAATCCAACTTCAAGAAATAAAATTTTTTTTAAATCCAAAATGGAAAATGGATTATTGTGACACCTAAGAAGATAATAGCAACAGTACAATGTAATGACGACATTAATACTGTTCCATTATTTGGATCCCACCTTATCGAATCCTCCCCAATTTGCAAAGTACAAATTGGAAAAACTGAACTAAGAACCTATACCCCTAATCGATTAAGATTTGATGACACTCGTCTACCGGAAGTGAATCTCTCACTACTACATAAACAGAAAACAATCTTCGATCCACCAGAACTCACATTGGACACGATCAACCTAAAGGAAATAAAGGAGCTGCAAATCCAAATGGACGAAGCAAAAGAAAACCTTGGAAAGATGTCATCACGTATATATTCTACAAGAACTAGTGTTTGGACAATTTTGTTATACGTAATAATTATATTAATCTTGATTTATTTATTATATAAATATTTTCCATTTAAATCTAAAATTAATAAACAAAAAGAAAATATTGTTATTTAAAAGCACTTGTACCCGTGCTTTCATCTAAGGGCGGAGGAGTTATAAACGCTTTGATACTGTAAACTGCTGAGTAAAGGTTCCCATACATATTATATTATTTGTTTCTCAAAGTGTCAGCAATTTGTCTATATAAAACCACGGTGCGAACCACATCGCTAGCTCTTTTGTCATCTCGCTTGAATAAAGTTTTTTCAAAAATCAAATTCGTTTTCCACGACGAAAACTCACTGCATTATAACGATTATTTTCTTCTAGGATAGGAATGTGTTATACTAATTTGAAGAAGGCCTAGACGGTCAACAATATTGCGCAATATTTTGTATGTTTTTGTTTTCATCGTTTTATAGACGTTGACAACAGCAGAATAAAACGCAATATTATTTAGTTTAGTTTACTTCGCTCTTATTACTTATTGACGGTCTAGGTCGGGCCTAAAACATGTAAGTTAGTTAAAAAATAATATTTAATTGTTAAAATAAGCGGCCAACTTCAATTTTCTTTCTATTTTTAAACAAAACAGCTTTATTTTATCCTAATTATCCTTAAATTCAATCAAACTGCACAATTAAATTCACAACACGCATGTTGGCAAATGTCAAAAACAAACATAATTATGATGTTATGCGACACTTACCAACACTTGAGCGTTTCAAAAGTTACTAGATTAATCAATTGGTTTTTGCCTCCTAAGATATAGGGATCGAATCTCTGTGCGACGCACCGCTACACAATGGATAGATTATTACAAATTTCCTAACAGGTGGTGGGACCAGTTAGATTCTATATCCCCAGGCATAACACTGCTTCATTTCTTTGTATGGGGTCACTTCAAAAATTAAGTATACAGTAGGTCCTATGAAAACGTTGGAGGATTAAGAGAAGCTGTTAACAGTACCACTCCACAAGTGTTAAAACAGTCCTGTAAAGCAGTGTTGAGAAGATATATCTTATGCGTGCAACAAAAAGGCGGATTATTTGAACACGTACTCTAATTTTGTTGTAAAATTCTGTGTATTTTAGTTTTTTGTGGGTTAAAAAAGTAAAGAAAAGTTTACTTCGGCTGTATGCCACTGTTAGCATCGGCGTATCCTTTGAACATTTCAGCTCCTATAATAAGGAAAATATTGTGGTTTTTCAAAAATTGACATTTTCCTTTTTCACCCTGTAAGGGTATCAATTTAAAATAAAGGAAAGCTAGCCATTTATCCCATTTATCCCAGACAGAGAAGTTCTTAGTTACACTCAATAAATAAACAACAACATAAGTCTCGATTGATACTAATGAAATCCATCTATAACACATTTAAGTTTGTCTATGTGTAATTCAATTGTCTTCTTATTATTATCATTTGAGATCTTAAAACCTGTTAGCGTCATGGATTCCTCGATATCATTTCCATGTCTTAGGTGGTCTCCAATGTGTTCTCTCAGTTTTGTTGTTTGTTAATTTTCGAATGCAAAATAGTGACTACATACAAACCATATACCACAGAAGTTTGCAATACTTGACTTTATATTACATCCAGAAAAAGTGGAACTTTTGATTGTAGGACAATAAGAAAACATTAAAATACCAATTTTGTCAGTACTAACAGTCAATAGAGGCAATAGAACTTACTTAATCCTGCGAACCTTCATCAAATTGGGGTCAAAGTTACCAAGCTAATAAAATCGTTTTTAATTGTCATGATTAGTGGCGACGCGAATTATTGCAACATCTCATAGCAGAAGAAACAAACACAGCTTAGACTTTCTACAAAATTTCATTTATTAATAAATAAAGTAAAAAAAGTTTTACTATAACCAATATTTAAGAAAGGATCTTTTTATAAATACAGACTTTAAACATCTCCACAATGTTCAGATAAAAACTCCTGGCTATTTCAGTTTAAAGCTTACCAAAGGTGTCAATATAAAAATCTGTGTTCCAATTTAGATAATAAGATGAGCTCTAAAATCTTTGGATAAGACAATAACCAAACTAAAAAATTGATAAATATAAAATTTACTTTATAAAAATTCACCGAAATCATTTTGAGCCTGAAATTTTCTCTTAATTCATGAACAAACCAATCTGCAATAAAAAAAAACAGTGATTTGGGGGTTAGCAGAAAAGTTTAAAGCAAACTTACTATATAATCCCAATTTCTCTCAATTTTTCTCTCATTTTAATTAGGGTTCCTTCCCATATTCCCTGCATGGGATCTCGGACAGTATCCATTGGCAGTTTGGTTACTATACTCATGGCTGCTTTCAAAGCCGGAACCATCTCACCTTTAAATTTTTGTTATCATCATCATAAATGTAACATAAATGCTTACATAAAGTATTACCATAATTATATATATTTGTGATTGCTTTTGTTAGTAAACTTTGTGATGCTTGCGCGCTTTTGATTTCTCCATTTTTCATACAGGAACAGATCGATTCTGCGAGTTTTGGAAGTATATTCAAACTATTGCCCATCACACAGGTGAAACCGCTAGCTACCGCACCCAACATACCCTAACAATGGCACCCGATAAAACACCAACTGTTCCATATCTAAGATTTGTAACATATTTATACCTCATCTGTTCCCATGAATACCACAAACTTTTCGGGATTCAATTCCATGACTGAGACGGTATCTTGTAAATCTCCTGTAGAATAAATTAACCCTACAAATGTGTCCACTTCTCCGGTTATGTCCAACAGGAACTTCTTCATATCCACTGTGAAAAAAAGAATAAATTTTATTTATACAAGCTGTTCCAGTGACAGTAACGAAGCACGATATAAATGAACAAAATTTGAAAAAAAAAAAACTAAATCAGTTAAAACAAAATGCTGGAAATTATTTTCGAGTTTCTAAAATGACCACCAAATTTAAAACTCGACTTCTACACAAATTTCTAATGTTAATCATGTGCATACTATTTTAAAGCTATTTACAGCTGACTTTCAGGCATACGGTTCAAGGTCCTCGAAACAACTACCCACAAGGACCCACCCATATTATACCACTCTTAATAGCCCTTTAACCGGGCATAGACCCGAACGATATCAGAAAATCTTACGTGACTTTCAACTTTATTGAACTTTGAAGATTTTGTGTCACAATTTTTCGACAGGTCGATGCTTTCGATTTTGTCAGATGCTGTGGGTGGAGTCGAGCTCTCTGGATTTTGTCAGACTCGAGCAGATGACGAACAACAACAACATGAAAAATAGAACCGAAGCTATTACGGAGGCAGCTATTGGACCCGTTGCTCCAATGAATTGAGGACAATTTTATTAATTATTTAAATAGTAAAATATGTATTCAAATAAACATTTTTCTTAGGTTCTAAGGCGTCGATTTCTTCTAGACACTGGAATACGATGAGTTTAAATGAGACGTTTTTAATACCATAAACATTTAACAAAGTTAAACTAATTTAAACTGAAAAAAACTTTGACGACCGTCAAATCAGGACAAGATGTGTAGCGTTTGGTAAGATAAAAACAAAAGTTGTTCTCATGGCATTATTGATAAATATATGTATATGAATTATTCCAGCCAAAAATGATATTTTAATAATTTTTAAATGGTTTTCCTCATTTTGCTATTTAAACACATCTATAATAAAATTAGTTTGTCTCCAACAATTTCATTAGTGACCGAGTGAGTGATTAAATGCAATATTTAATGAAAAAAATAAGTGACAATAGTAAATAATAATAACTGCGAAACCTGGGAATTAAGCAAAAGAGACAACACAGTAATTCGGCTATGAAAATGGACTACTGGAGAAAAAGCAATAGAACATCCAAATTGGACAATGATAGAAATGAAACAGTAAGACGATCTATGGCAGTCGATGGTCTCGAAAAAATGGACCGAACCAATGACCCAAAAAAATTTGGTTATATAATAGTAAATATTTGAAAACAAACAAAATTTCAGGTAGGGACTAATTGGTGCCCTTCGAAGGAATTGTAAACAAAGTAATAAGCATCAATCGCAAAATTTTAGTTAGATTCAAAATATCATTTGGCATCCTAAATATTAAATTATTTTATTTGGTACATTAGCAACAATCCGTTAAAGGAAAATTTTTCAAAAAATACCACTTTTTTTTTGAGTGCTAAGTTCTTTGATTCAACATTTTAAGGTTAGGATAGATATATTGAGATACGGTTTTCACTAGGTTGTTGAGCCTCTATTTCGCTACCTCATATCGTTGCTCTTCTTTTTTTTTTCAGAAAATAATATTTTGCATAAAATATTTTTTTTGCAATTATGTCAGAAAAATCCTAGTTAAACAACCAAAATGGAGTCACTCATACCACTATTGACAGCTTAGAAAAAGCCGTTTTTGAAGCCAGATATTTATTTTTACGAAAGTGTTGAAGCGCGCCCACCACTTTCATTGCAGAAATAGAGCATTACACAAAAATCATTTGAATTTGTCTCACCTTTGAAATAGTAGTCGCATTAACCATGGTTAATATTAGATATTTTTGGAGAAATCGAATTTTAAAATTGAAGATAACTATTACGCCCCTGCTGGTCATTTCAGAAATTCTAAAATAATTTTCTGCATTTCCTCTTGGTCGATTTACTTAATCATTTTTTCAAATGTCTATGGCCATCTGTTTCCCTAATACCGTACCTCGCCGCCCTTGCTGGGACTGTTGGTAAAAGTTAATCTTAATTAAACAAAAACCTGCCGTCTTTGCAGAAAAAAAAACACAATTTGATAATTACCAGTACACGCACTTCGGTATTACCGTAGCACCATCCAAAGCCTACTTGTACAAAAATGCAAAACTTTTATTTTTTTCGCGCCACTTTCCACTTTCTTTCTCATATTTTGAGGAAATACTGCCGTAACAATGCCACATGTAAACTGAAACCCGTAAATGTAAACGTCGAATTGACAAACTGTCAGCGGCCATTTTGGTTTTTGAACGCTTATTGACTGCTATATTTCAAATGCCTCGCACGCGCATATGAAATAGCCTATTTCAATATTTTTTTTCCAAAGGTAATTTTAAGTTCTATTCAATTATGGGGCGTAGTACAGAAGAGGCAACTAATAAACCATAAGTTTTAGAAGTTATGTTAAATAAGTTTAAACCATTAAATTCTACGTAAAAAAATACAGAAGAAAAATTTGCCATTGCAAAAAAAAGGAACATCGAATGTTTTTTAAATCATACTACTTAGAACATCATGAAAAACGAATTTCTGATGATGGTTCTGCAGGAAACTTTGTCAGAGTCAAAATTATGGTAAGTTTATTTAAGGTTTAATGGTTATTTTCTCAGCTGGTGTTTTTTTTTGTGAACCAAATCATTCTTGTGGCGTAGAAATTGATAAATTTCTATGTCAAAGTTGTAAAATTTTTCGCAACTTAAACAAGATGTCTAAAATTTATGGTTAAATAATGATTACATTTAAAAGATAATAACTTGTTTAATTCAATTGGGACACATTGTTTTTTAAATCAATGAACATGGATTTTACTTATTTGCAAAATTGAAGATTTGTCACAAACCATAAAGTTTGGATACTAAGACTTATTTAAACTCACCTTAATTTTGACCATACAAACCAAAACCAAAAAATTATACAAGGTTATTTTACGAACTATAACTTTGATACTTTTCTTGATTTTGGGACACAACGAAAATATTTTTACAATGTAGCCTTAATAGGCCCTTAATCCAAAAAAAGATTTTTTAAAAATCAAATACTCTTAGTCACATACCAATTCAATTATTTTTTATATATCAATTATTTGTAGTGAACCTAAATAACTGAAATGATATATTATGATATATGTTCGCTCCATGTGAAATTATTATTATGCCCATATTGTCTAATATTATCTCATAGTAAGACATAAATTTTGATATTCGGTGTGCTTAAATAGTGGGCATTCAGCACTTCCAAAATTTTATTTCACTATTTGCAAAAATATTGAGATATATCATCTTCACAGTTAAAATCTTTCTTTATTATTTTGATATCTAAAACGAGCCTCCAAAATATCTCCACATTATTTCCAATCACCCTGAATATTATAGCATCGCTCGCGGTATTTGCTACTTGGTCAAGTGGCACCGTATATAGTTTAGCCATGAAAATTTCTATTTATGCCAATGACATTGACGCTTGACCCTAATTGGAATTTGTGTTCTGTTACACACAGTTCTAGTAGTTAAATGTATCAAAATTATGAAATCTATGATAAGGTTTTCCATTTTGTCAAACGAAAACGTAAAAAAAAACTTAAAAATCAGCTAATTTAGTTCCATTTTATTGTTTTATTATTCTAACTGGAACTATTCTAAGCAGGAATCCAAAACTGAAATAATATACAGGGTGTTTAATTTAAAATAACCGAAAGTGATACAACCTTGAAAGTATTTTAAAATGAATGAGTATCATGAATCAAGGATACAGTGAAGAAAGAAAATATCAATTGCAGACAAGCTTTCAGAAACATGGCAATTTATCATGTTGTTTATAAACCAAGTCCATCTTAATTTATTTCCTAAGACTTATAAAGAATTACTAGTTATCCCATTTCATATTTTCAAAACTTATACTGTGCTTTAATAAGAAAAAGTAATGCAAAGTTTAATTCTTGAGTACTTCAACTTACTATCAAGTGCTGTAAACTTTGGATAGTGGTGGTACAGTATTGGCATTGACCCAGTACTATGAGAAACTGTCTTAATATAACGGATCAGGTCTAAATGATCCTTCGGTCTGTGATAAAGGTCCGGTAGAAGAACAATAGCGCCGACGCCAGTTTTTTCAGCATGAAGAGCCTTAAATGGAGCATATTAAAAGATTATAATTAACCAAAAGGTAAATAGAGTATACCAGTTCAATTACACTTCTCAAAGGTGCTCCTCCTATTTGTACCATAACAAAAATGCCACATTCCTTGCACAAATTTACCCAATATTCGAGAACTCTTTTTCTTTCACTAATGGTGAGTGACATACCTTCCCCCAATACATCGTTCACTGCAACATAAAAATATGTAAATAAAAAATTTTTAGGTGCAGTTTGTGCTACCAACCAAGAACACCTTTAACTCCACAAGCTTTTAAGAATTTTATATATGGCTTTATCAAGTCATAGCAAACATCTTTGGCTCTAAAATTTTAATAATGAACAAAAAAAAAGACTAAAACAAATGTTTACCTAGACTTTACAAATGGTGTTACGACAGGACACAGCAACCCTCTAAACTTCATCATTTGCTAAAATGAAAATAAAATAATTTTAACCACTTTCCACCAACAAGTTTTTTTACAGAGATTGTGTATGAGAGCACTGTGACAGAAATTAAAATTTACTTTACACCATGAACTAACTGTGCACTAACACTGCACTGCAACATTCAAATGGCAACTGCCAAAGGTTCTAAACTGTTTGTTGTCACCAAGGTGTAACCTTATTTATTTTAGGTGCTTAATTTTGTACAAGCTTATCATCAATTCAGGTCAATTTCTTAGTTTGATGGATTAGATTTGATGGATGACATGTTTTTCACATTTTCAATATGCAGAGAATACCAAAAGAAAAGCAGTGGACAAGTAGAGGCGGAAAATATTATCCACCATTAATAAATGTGTTCTTTACAGACCTCCACATGTGTCTATGCTGAATTTTAGTCCACCTATTAAATGCAGACTTACTGTTACACCACTTATTAAGTTCTATTTTACTGCTTCTGAAGTAAAATAAATACTATTAACTCTTACCTTCTTAATAACCTTCTCAGATGGTGGATGTGTAGTATTCCTTTTGTGTTTCATAGATGACATATGTTTGAATACCTCAGATTTCCCGCACTTATAGTCTTTCTTACAGAATTTGCAGTAAAAATAAGTTTCACCATGAACACTTTCTGAAAGCCATGGCTTAACTGATGGTATATCTTCCCACTCCTTCTTATACTTTTGTAAGTACTTAAAACAAGCAAATTCAATAAATAAAAATAACATATACATAATATGATTTACCTGTCTCTTTGAATTTGGGGTCCCATTTGATTTCGATTCTCTTTTCCGACCTCTAATATGTTCCTTTTTTATTCTTTTCGATAATGGTTGATCATCGTCCTCTTCAGAATCATCTTCTTCATCGTTCGGATCGAAATCGCTTGCCGAATCAGGTTTAAAATCCGAAAACAAATCCTTGGCAGTTTTTGGGGTTTCAGCTTTGATCTTGTTATCGTCCAATCGGTTATCCCCTTCAATATCCAGGTGGATTATTTCCACAGTTTCGTCTGTTTCATTTCGTTTTTCTCTTTTTATGTCCATTGTTTAAGAAAATTAGACAAAAGTTTAAGGAAACATTAACCAAACATAACCTACCATATTTTTCCGATTCCTCTTTTTAGCCATAGATAAATTACTTTTGGTTTTCTAGCACCCCTTAGATCAACATAAAGTTCAAGTTACGTTTATTTTGATGGTTTCGCGCAATTAGGTGACGCAGTGTAAAATTGAATAATCAAATGAACTTCTTGAAGTGTAGTTTATTTGTTTGAATTTTTACAAGAATGATTTAACAGTCCAATAAAACTTTTCCGAACTGTTATGGGCGTACGAGTATGTGATCTGCCAACCTACTCTACCAATTTGATTCCGTTTAAAGTCAACATTTTTTAACCAACAGGCGGGAAAATTAAAAAGGGTGAAAGATGATCTTCGGAAAAGATAACTTGTAAAAATTCAAATCGAACTTCACTTCCAGAAGTTCTTTTGATTTTTCAATTTTATTCATAAACATATATCGAGAAACGCCCCCTAACGAAGCTACATTTCCAGAAGGAATGGACCTAAAAATGTTTTTAAAACTTTGGCCAATGGCGTAACTTTTGGTTAATTTAGTTAGTTATGTTATGTAAGTTATGTTACGAGAAAAAGTTACACTTGACTGATACCGCTAGGATGCACCGTTTTGGATTAAAATAAAGTTCAAAAGTACACTGTTTAGCATCTTGTATCTAGGTTTGTTACTTGTTCATTTTTATTCGAAGGCTCACTAGCAGGCCTTGTTTGATTTATAATTGACCAATTTAATTAATAATTTCGTATGGAATTAAGTTATGGAGTTATGGAGTTAAGTTCTAATGCAGTTTGTGTTATAGTCCGATTATTTAGTAAAGAGTACAGTGACGTGACTTTCTAAAAGAAAAATGATGTCGAACGTTATTTGTTTTACTCTAGTCATTGAAGATATATAAGCAAGAGAGGATTAATAATTCATAGTCAATGACCAATGACTCGCAATTACTTACAATTACCATTACAATAACTATTCATATATACATATATACATAGTAGGCATACACAAGATAAGAGCCAAATACTTATATAGTCCATGCTGGTGGAAAAAACGGATTTATAACTAATGGATTGCGGATTTTTCAATCTGGTAAAAAAAATATTTAACAGAAAACAGTAAAAAAAATGTCAACACAAATTTTGTAGATGCTTTGTCCAGTAAATAAGTATAAAAATGTATTTTCAAGTAATTTAAGGACTTTTCATCTCTATTTTAAAATTTTACCTCGAAAAAATATAAAGCCATAAAATGTTAACAACTAATTAGTGATTATTAGGGCACCAATTTGATTGTTTTTCATAGATATTTTTGAAAGCAGGCAATATATATATATATATATATATATATATATATATATATATATATATATATATATATATATATATATATATATATATATATATATATATATATATATATATATATATATATATATATATATATATATATATATATATATATATATATATATATATATATATATATATATATATAGGGAAGGGGGTCCGCCTGTGTTGCGATTATAGAAGACTAAATGACAGTGTTTTGAGATCGCATTTTCAAATCGATAAAATCGAGACTACTTTAGATAAAATGGCGGGATCACGCTATTTTTCTAAATTAGATTATATATATATATATATATATATATATATATATATATATATATATATATATATATATATATATATATATATATATATATATATATATATATGATGACACTATATTCCGGGATATCATCCGTTCGCTTGTTGAACTCCGACTGGAATCCTGCAGACGTTTAGCCAAAATCTCACTTGGCATCTTCAATGCTCGAAGTGTTTTCGGAGCGCGAGCATTGAAGATGCCAAGTAGAAATGTTGTATTCAAGTTGTCAGATCCAGATCTAGAAGATCTTGCAAGACAAACATTTTCAGAAGTTACTGTTGAGGAATGGGCTAAAATTTGCAAACGTGAAGAAACATCAAGAACTCATACAAAGAGATCATGTGTTTTAGGATACAATTAATTGATGGTATCCAGTTCACAGGGCTCCTCCGAAGAAAATGACGACGAATCTGACAGTATAGCCAGCAGTATCAGGGTTACTGTTCGTCTGTTCGTTTATACGAATTTTATTGTCCTGTAACGACTTTGTGAAAAAATCTCTTTTATTTGGATTATTTTATTACTAAACAAATAAATAAAAGCTTTAAAAAAGGGTTTTATTGCTAACGAAAAAAAAACTATTGCCTACAACAATAAATTTATTAATTTGATGCTTGTGTGTATATAAAAACAGACTTTTTTTACTACCCTAGTCTTTTGAAGCATTTTAATGCTTGTAAAATTTTAAAAAAATCAATACAAACATCGTATAATTAGTTAAACATATTAACGTCTCAATGTATTCTCTTACGCGTCACGCCACTGGTAGAACAAATTTCCACTGCCTGAGGGTGAGGGGGAGAGAGACAGACAATCACGTTCGCGGAGAACACAATAACGGTCAACATACTCTTTACGAAATAATCGGACTCAAAGTTTACTTTTTCACATATAGAAGACCATTTAAAATTAGGTTTCAACATTTATTTCAGAACCTGAACTTACAGATTACAAAATTCTCGGATGCATCTTCAACTTCAATTTCGATTATTATTTTCGAAATTAAAAAATAAAGTTAGGAAAAGTAAATTTAAAGCAAACCAAAACTAATAAAAACCAGCTAACATTAGATGCAGTTCTAACAAAACTAGTTGATATTTTTCTTACTGTTGGATAGTGGTCCATTTAGACTGAATTACGATAAAATTCAAAGCCTGGACTTACAGGAGGCTCTTTCCAGATTACAAAATTGACAGGTGTACCTTCGCCTTTAAGTTCGATTATTACTTTCGAAATTTAAAAATAAGGACAGGACAAATAAATTTAAAGCGTTCAGTTTATACTTTCTTAAAATAATGGGGCTTCCATCTAACAGTTTACATTAAATGTTGGAGAACACAGTAATATTTACTCTTAGATTTGGATGTGGCAACTGAGGGATGTAGATCATATTATATCATGTAAAAGAACCTGGAATTTACACTTGTTTATTTCAAAATTACAAAGTTCTCAAGAACACCCTTTTTAATAATTTCGAGACAGAGCAACTATAAATTTAAGACATTCACTTTAGAATTTCTTAAATTAACCTGAAAATTTTTTTTTCTTAATACAATGAGCTCACATCTTTACTTAGACGGATATCAACGAGTAAATTTGGCAATTATTCCTAGTCGTCAAAATCGGACAAACACAAATACACCCAGGCTCCCGGTGGGAATCGAAACCAACAAACCTCCGGCCTGTTCGAGTTGGCAGATAACGCCTTACCAACCGAGCCATCCTCGATCCCCTAAAAATGTTTCAACTAGCAGAAACCAGTTAATAAATGCAGGTTATGAGACTTAACTAAATTTTGATGTGACCAAAATGTTCACACCCTGAATTAACGGGAGTACTTTATCTGTCTATGCCAAGCCATTGTTATTATCGAGAATAAAAATCTTGTATAACAGAGTAAGTTTACAACATTCAATTTAGATTCTCTTAATTTTTTTTACAACAACAAACCGGATTAGATTATGTACTTGCAATAAGATGCCAATTTAAATTATCTTGCATATAGCAAGAATTTCATGAGGAAATTCGCCAATTTAAACCAACTTACTATGACAAGTTCACATTCTGTTTAGCAAAGGCTATCTTATTTATTAATTTATTAACTGCTTTCGACTATTTTAGGGATATGTTTAATAATGGATAAGTAATTCACATAATTTGAACAAGCAGCTGCTTGCTGGTAAGGTTGTGACTGCAGATGGGTGTGTCTGGTGCACGCAAACCTATTTCCTCCAAAAGTGGTACATGATGTTTAAGACATAATGAAGTAAAAGTCTTTACTTTTTGATCTTCCTTACAAAGATTCACGTAACAATGCAGGATCCACACTAAGTCTGTACCTTACATAACTTACTGATAAGAAAATTTTAATGACTATATATATATATATATATATATATATATATATATATATATATATATATATATATATATATATATATATATATATATATATATATATATATATATATATATATATATATATATATATATATATATATATATATATATATATATATATATATATATATATATATATATATATATATATATATATATATATATATATATATATATATATATATATATATATATATATATATATATATTCACGGATGGAAAAATGTGATGACACTATATTCCGGGATATCATCCGTTCGCTTGTTGAACTCCGACTGGAATCCTGCAGACGTTTCCCCAAAATCTCACTCTCCCAAACACTGTTCGAAATGTTTTCGGAGCGCGAGCATTGAAAATGCCAAGTGAGATTTTGGCGAAACGTCAGGCGAATGATCCTACTCCAGGGTCAAGCAACAAACGGATGAATACCCGAATTACCACCAATACACATAGTTCCATCCGTGAAGGAAGGTAAAAGATATACAAATCTGTTTTAATCATATACTTATTCGCGTATGAAGCGTCATTATTAACTTATATTATTATTTCGGTTATTTTCGCCACTTCTGGTGTGCGTTGAGTGTAGCAAGCGTCAAGTATAAAGACGAATAGGTAGGTACGTATAATTTTCTTCCAGTAGGGGGACTTTTCAAATTGTCGTGTTTTTTGGCATTTTTCTGTTCTATTTCTAGATTGTTTCAGAACGAATAGGAGTAGCAAAATTATAATGCTTGCTCGTAATAAGATTGATATTGATTGTTTAGACATTTTAAAAATTCCTAAATATGAATCACAAGACACCGATAGAAACGAACAAGAGCGATTTCTAAGTAAATTGTCTGGTAAGTACACAACTATTTTGTGGGTGTGTGAAAACGTTTTTAGCTTTCTTCTTCCTATGAACTTCTTTTCAAAAGTGCAGGTTATGACGAATTTGTTATCGGCAAGCAAAAAAATATTTTGAATTTTCTCCAGCACCGGGTGGCTCGGTAAATAGTAAATTTCAAA